TTATCTCTAAGAAAAGAATAATAGCTTTCTCATAGCAGGCGGTGAATTCTTCCGTATTACCAGCCGCTCGGTGAGATCTTCCTTCTTGCTCGTACAAACAGGCCTGCGAGTGTGTCATTCCCTGAGGATCATTGGCCTTCTTGTAGCAAAACAATGCCTGTTAAACTCTTATTAGTACGAAACTCCTTTCCGGCTTGTGATAGTATATTACCTCTGCAAAGCTCTTCCGATGGAGTAGATGTGCTGCTCTCTTGAGCCACCTGTCTGGGTCCACTGAGCCACCGGCCCGCAGAACCATGACCTTTTCCACAACCTAAGAGAGATGAGATGATTGCGCGAGTCATCTGGATCAGAAGCGTACTTACATTAGGGTCTTTCTGTTTTACAACCTCAGCGAGCTCGAGGCTGTTGCTCTGTGAGAGCGTTTGAAGAATGGGGTCAACGCTATTCTCTTGGGTCTCCATGAACCAAAGGTGCTTTCTGGCGCGTGTTACGGCAACATATAGTGACTAGTTATCACTGTTAGCAGAAGGAATTTTTAGGAAAAGAATAACTATACCTTAAGTTCGGAGCACAAAGCCTAGTTGGACAGGTTAGCTATCATAACGGGTTGGCTATTTCATGAGATACTCACTGCATTCTTCTGACAATCAAATTGTGTTCGTGCTGCATGAACAAGCATGTAAAGGCAGCGGTAGCTACTACCAAGTCCACTGCTGCCGAAGAAGTCATACACCAAGACATCATCAAACTCCATACCCTTGCTTTCTAGTATTGTCAAGACAAGGGCAATCTCCCCAATTTGGGTTTGCAGTTTGTCCTTTGATGCATCATCTCGGACAAGGATGACTTGCTCAGCGCCAAAGTCGGCGACCTTGTCGTTGAGCTTGACCAGGCCAATCATTTTGGCAGAAAGAATCGAGGAGTCAAATCCCGCTATGTGACAAATGTTAGTGATTGAAAGCAAATATAGCGATGCGACATACCAAAGATAATTGGTTTCGGCCCTCCAATATAGCCAATCTCTGGGTCCAATTTGTCAATTGTTTCCGGGAATCCTATGTATAAGAAGTTAGATAGAGACAATTTGATCTTTGGAATTTCTCATACCATGCCAGAGTAGCTGCATCACCCATGATGCGAAATTTAGAATACCCTGATGCGAGCGATAATTCTTAGCCAGAGAGAATTGAACCGGCTTGGCAAAGGAAGGCTGATTTAGTTCATTGGCAATGACTTCGTAATGATCGTAGAATAAAGCCTTTATCTCAGGAAACCGGAAAACTGAATCTTTGGAGATGCATTGGGCAGTATCACCAGCTAGGTTCTGTTAGTTGATTAAGTTCGTGGATCAACTGTGAGAGGCTTACCGAGGTGAATCCCACGGGCGTCACTGAGGCAGCCCAAAAGCAAGACAATGTCCAGACAACGCAAGTCTTGAATTTCTAAACATGTGGTTAGCAGGTTGCTCTCGAATATTGAAAGATAGACCCACCATCAACATAGATTTCCTCAAAGCAGCGCTGAATCTGCTCCGCAAGAGCTTTTTTATTTCTTAAAGACTTCAGCAAAGCACTGACGCGATCTAACTCATCGATGTCTTTGCGCAGCTTCTTTTGCTTTTCATAGCGCTCAAAGGCTCCAAATACTTTCTCACGCTCTGCCTCAGAGATAAAAGCGGGAGAAGCTTTCGCGTTCTTCTTGACATATTCTGCGCGGTACAACGGCTTCAGGCTTTTTGCTGTGACGCTGGAACCTTTAATGACGCCCATGATCTCTGCGAAGAGGAGCTCTGGAGAGCAAGATGGTGGAGCTAATCCACCTAGAGAGCCCCAATATTCGGTTTTGAAAATGCTGAAGTCAATCACTCGTGGCTTGTCTCCCACTGGTGGGTCCAGATCCTTTGTCTTATTGGGATTGATATCTCGTAGGAAATCTTTTCGATCGGCCATTCTACTTCAAGTTAGAGAGGAAATATTGAAAATATTGACAATTGCGGTATCGAAGATGTTCAAACCTAATTGTATTCTCCAGAAGCCCAAGGAACTCGTCGTAAGTACAGACGACCGGGAAATGCCAGTTCTTTAAGGCAAAGAATGAAGTGGGTTTTAAGTCCGAATCGACATATTCTTCGGTCGATGGAGCCTTAGATTGAGCATCGATCAGGCTTTTAACATATGTTTGAAGCTTTGAGGCCAGATAGGAGGAACGAGTCAAGAGAAGCTATTCATGTCAATTTTCCATCCACCGTTGTGAGAAGAAAAACATACCTGTCGAGCTTGCTGCTCATCTGATACCGACTGCCTTGCTTTGTGCTTAGCAAGCATCTTAAACAGTAGACAAGTAGTTTTCCCTGTACCACTTCGTCCTAGGATCAAGGTCGAAGTGCTGAAGTGCATCACAATCTCTAATTCTTCGGGCGAGAGATCAAACGGGAACTCTTCCGTGCCGCTCTCATCAATTATTGACTTTAGAAACGGCTCGGTGAGATTGTAAAACTTGTCTTGAAATTCATGGTCAGCTTATGGCCTATAGGACTTGGGATGGATTGATGGGGAAGAATTCATACTTGACATCTCAATTAGAGCAGGGTTGGCCTTGGAGGAAGAAATGGATTTCATTTGGTAAGACCCAGTGTCTTTCACGTTTTGAAACCGCTGTGGTGTCCAAGTTCCATCGGATTGTTGAACAGGGCGTTCCAAACAGAGCTGAGCGAGTTGAGGAGTGTAGGATTCCTGAATCAAAATTATTTGCTCAATGGCAGTTTCCAACTTTAAACCTCAGTTAGCAGATTTCTCATATTGTTCGATTTAAAAACACACCTCCTCTTCCGAGGTCACGATTTGCCAAACTGCCAAAGTCAGCATAGATCCGTAAGTCTCGATGCCATAGTTTGAGGACCCTTACCTTTGACAATCTGCTGCTGCACCCATGGAAGCTCATCGTAAAAGCCGACATCAACCTGCCATAGGATTGAGACAGTTGCGGAGGCGCTCACTTCCAAGATCGGAACCTGCATTCTTTTCTTCTGTTGCTTAGATCCCACACGCCGAGATAGATCTTTGCCTTTCCATTCGCCGCTTGCCAAATCTCTGAGCTTTTGTTCAACCCCGCCAAAATCGCCTAGGTGCGGTTAGAAATGACCAAATCGTGCAAGCTGGAGGCAAACAGGTGATTGACTTACCTCCGTGTACGAGTTTTTTTGCATTCTTGAAAGCGATGTCAGATAGCAAAACCTTCCACAGACCGACTCTTTTCCCGAAAATGTCCTGGGCACTGCCCGGTGCTGTAGTTCGATCCGAGGGCAAGTCTGCCGAGCTAGCCAGAGTGCCCGTGACACTACCGGTAGTGAGCCTATCCAAACAGATTCGGCATGGGAAACTTTCCAGGGCAGAGCGCATCAGTGCGGGTATTATCTCGTTTTGGAGATGCTCCCCTGCATGGGTGAGGCCTCGGGCGGACAATGGTGGTGGGAGGCTGAAGTGGTTCATCTGTTGAAGGATCTCATTTGAGACCTTGAACTCGTTTTGGCACTCCTTTTTGGTGCCTTGCTGTGCTGGAGTCGGATTCTTGTCGTCCCGATTCAACACTTTCATTGATTCCAGTGGAGGTAGGTTCTCCACCTTGACTCGTTTTAATTCTTCTTCGTATGATGTGTCAATAAGCAAGTTGATCGATTCCATCAGTTTCTGAGAGATATCCCAGCTCTCCACAATACCTCCCATTCCATGATCAGCGGAACAGGCCTGGCACATGGAGATTAACCTGTCTCCGACCTTCCTGGAGAGAGCAATGGGAAGGTAATTCCTTTTTGACAACAACCATTCCTTCAAAACCACAGTGTATTTTTCGTTAGCCACCAGGTGATCGAATAGGTCGTGTGAGGAGAGGAGGATGTTGGTCAAGTCACGTAGAAATTGAGAGTGTTGTTTGGTGATGAGAGGTAGCGCGGCTCCAACGAGTTGGATCATCTGTGGCGGCGAGAAGATATTATCGTGAACGAACGGGAGGACCATGGTTTTGAATATCTCCTCAGCAACAGGACTCGGTAGCAGCTTAGCTCGTAGGATCTCAAAGGATCTCAAAAGACGTGAGTGTGTCTGGTCGGGTTTGAGAACAAGCTGATCATGGATTACTCCATCTTGCATGGCTCGCTGTAAGCGAGTGTAGTACTTCTCGACATTCGAGAGAGCATGGTTGTATTCGTGAAGTCCAGGCTTCTCCTGCAGCAAGATTAAGGTCCACGGGGTCTGTACGGACGCCATTGTGGCGTGAGAAGACTCAATGCTTCTTGCTTACAGTTTGAGAAGTGGGTCGACACAAATAGGGACCGATAGACGCGTCACGCACCTGGTGAGGGACGGTTTTTTTTTGGGGGGATTTTCTTCGGGATTTTCTGGTAATCAGAACTAGAACAGGAAATGGTAGGGTTAGGAAAGTCAGGCGAAGACAAAACAATGGGTTCACCACTGTCTGGCCAACTGATGGCTTGAAGTGATAAAGATCGATGTGTGTCGAAGAAGTAAACAAAAAGGAGAGAGAGGTGGAAGAGGAGAGAGACCAGGGTCATATGGCCAGACGCGTGCCTTCCAAATGAGAGATGTCCCTCAGACGTGTACAGTCGCTCCTTCCCTAAAAGCTCTTTGTGCAAAACAAACACAAACATCTCTAGACGAGCCAGGAAAGTCACTACATACCATCTGAGAATAGCGGGAGCCCCTCCAAGTGTAGTGCTTAATTACCCTTCTGTGAGAGAGAACAGTCAATATTCGAAGAGTGACATATTAAGATCCTCCCCAAGGTGAGGCTGTCCGAGCTGCACTTATAGGGCTGCCGTTATTGAAAAGTAAAGAGTCCTTAGCAATATAGTCCATAAAGGTCTCTCACAATTCCATATCCAACGAGCAGACTCTCGGGGGGTAGTTATTATGCTGTATGATATAGTACTTCGTCGCAATTGCACCCATGCGGGCTAACACGCTAGTAGAGACATCTCCCCCATGTTGAGTTGGCGAGTCACGCCTTCGGCTGTACTTAAGTTGTCGAACCAAATCAAGAATGCTGCGCTTGATTATGGCGCGTCTTTTGTCATGGTCAGTTCGGTCTTCAGGCGAATACTCTTATATGGATCTTCGAGGATGTCAGAAAGCGAAAGGTTGCGTCTTGTTCAGTAGGTCTTATTCAGTATGTTTCCACTTGTATCTGGCGTTAATTTAGCTCAAAGTATGTATTGCTAAATGCGGATCGATACCTGATATTCTTTATCAGGAAAATTAGAATCTTTCATCCTTTCACAAAATCGGAGATAGGAGAGAAAGGAAGGCCGAAGTATTCAGGTATGACTAAACAAGGTAACACAGGCTCTGGGCCACGGCGTTAGCTTCAAGAAGCGTGCTCCTAAGGCTATCAAGGAGATCCGCGCCTTCGCGGAGCAGGCTATGGTAAGTTTTTACGGGCATATCCTATACAGCAAACCAAAGACTTTAACAGCGACCTATTTATTTGGAGCTATGCGTCCTCTGTAAGAGCAACTCTTCCAGGTATGTCGATCATTTCCAAAGGAAATTTGATATATGAAAGACTGACACTCTCCGGTAGAATTCTTCCAAGAGGTCGTTGATAATTTTGAAGAAGGAACCCCTGGAACGGATCCGTCACTCTACTGTTCTGAAAAATGGCGCTAAGGAACCCGGTGGGTACACCACCGCCAGACGGGAAGAAAAACTGGAGTGCTTCTTAAAGACGATCCAACTCGTAAGTACAGATGAATATAGTTATTCCTCTAGCTAATAATACCAATGACATTATCAGTCGCATCAGAATGGCCGGCATGGTCTCCCTGATCCAGAATATATGGCCCGGAAAACACCATGTGCCAAGGACCACTTTTGCCTTCATATCTTACGGGGACTGGGACTCGATTATATTCTGTCCTCTGTCATTTGAGTTTCCACGTAGAAAGTACACATTATCCCACTATCCCGAGACTATTCAGCCGCTGAATAAACAAATCCGATGCTAGTTTCTTTTTATCATTATCTTTCCTGCCATATTTTACCGTTGTTTTGTAGAGTTCCTTGACCTCTTCAGACTTCTACGCCCGAAACCACGCCATTAGTTTACAGCGTCGGCCTTTATATTCAACTTCACTTGAGATGTAGATAATATACTAGTCAAAAATAGCCGCCATAGGGTCTGATTCGTTCTTGGGTTGGGGGAAAATATTCAACAACTTCAGATCCTTCAGATTATGGTAAGGTGGGTCTAAATCTAGTAAAGCAACGATTTCTTTAATCGGAAGGTAAACCATCCAGATCTTATAAACTATGCTAGGAAGATCGGACTTAGAAAAGCAGTCAACGATGAATTTTTTTCCTATTTAAGTCAAATAGATAAATGAGAAAGGTCCTATCGTTGCTAGTGGTATCGGAGTCTAGTAAGAAGATGATTTTTTTCATGGTCTGTATCATTGTATCTGACTGATGAAATTCGTCTCGATGAGTTCTGCTACGCCAGTCTTTACCCACCTAATTAGCCTTGTCTTAACAGGGGATCTAGTCTTACGTATTATAATCCACAGTCTCTGTGGATTTTCTATGGGAGATGCAAATGTGATGTGGCGACAGCCAGTAATTCTCCGAACATCCCTAAGAATGGACTTCCAATCGATCTACGTCAATGTTGAATTGATGGCATAGTCAAAATCAAGCCATTTAACTCAAGCTTCTCTCCTTGCTTGTTCTTGTTCTACACTTTTGGTCAAGATCTCGCTATCCTTGGTATTGCACCATGCTAGGTTTGAATTCTGGTTGGTCGAATTCTTGGACTGACGTCGCCCTACTGGGGTTTCGACGATTGGTACATTTGGTGAGAAAGAAAGAGACATCACATTGCTTTTATCCCCACGGTGACTAATCCCTCCTAATCACCCAAGCCCTAGAGGCCATGAGGACACATCTATTGAAAATTAATCGATTGCGTCAGTGTTCGGACATCGCTGCAGCGGCCACTTATTTGAGGGCCGCAACTTGCAGATGGGCAACCAGACTACACGATAGTCAGGTCACATAAAGAACTCCATCTTAGGCACCACCCACTCCTAAGAAGACAAGAAACATTCTACCCTATGCAGACGGGTGAAAGTCCTGAGTACCAACCTAAGCAGTCCGGAGCAGGATAAGGTAGCCGTTTCCTTCCTTTTTGCCAACCATATATTATAGTACCTAGTTGGCCGGCACAATACCCGAAGATTGCAAACTATACAACCATACCAAACAGCGGTGCGAATGCCGGGAATCCCTGATTGTCGGTAAATTATTGATTGAACCGCAAATTCATACGCCAATACAAACTATACAAAACATGACATACAAACATTGGAGCTGAGCCCGGGAGTAGTCACCGCGCGCTTATTGGTTGAAACTCCGCAAGAAGGCAAACCATGCAAACGTGCCAAACAGAAAAATCTAGATTATTCATAGTTCATAGATGTAAGGATCATACTTTAGAGTACGTGAGTTCAAAATATAAGTATGCCTCAATTCCTAGATGAGATCCATAGGATACAACAAAAAGTCTCTCTTGATAATCCAACACTTTGCAACCAAAGGTAAATTCTCATCGCTCCTTACCTTATTAAACCTCCCGAGAGGCGTCTTTCAATGAACCTAGGTTCCAATCCATATTCTTCGGATTACGATCAAACAATCTGTCGTGGTGGTTTTCACTGATTTTTGGTCTCAGAAACTCGGCGAAGAAAAGCGACTTCTATATCCAACCCACCCCTTCGTCAAGACGGAATCACTAGATGTGAGTCAAAATTGAAGATTTTTCTTCTATTCTGTAAGGCAAAAATTAACGTATCCTTCAAGTAACATCATGTCTCGCCCCCTTTTACAGAGGATGCATCGATTTGTTGAGTTTATCAATTCAGGCGATGAAACCATAGGACAAGAAGTGGTTTCCGAATCAGCTGTGTTCTACGTTCCGTTTTCGGATACGCCACTAAAAGGATTGCCTGGATACATGCAAATTCTTGGCATGATGCGCTCCGCTTATCCAGATATTCAGTGGACACTTGACGATACAGTTATCGAGGACGATAGAGTTGTAGCGCAGTTCACTTTGTGTGGAACTCACGAAGGCGAATTCTTCGGTGTTCCGGCTTCCGGGAAGAAAATCGAGGCACGAGCTATGAATATCTATCGGTTCACAGATGGAATGATTGTGGAGGAGACTGGCTTGCCTGATATTTTTGGGATAATGCTGCAAATTGGGGCTATTAACCCTCCGGTTGCTCATTAGGATTCCTAGGCCGCTTTGAGAATGTCACTCTAAGATTCAACATTCATCGTCGATCTTGTACAATAACGAATACGTACCTTAGGGTAGGCTGAGAATACATGACGTAAGGCGATATATGACCAACATAAATTGAACCCCATTTTCAGGCCTATAATACGAGGTAGTACTAAGGGTAGATCCTTGGCGAAGAGGCTGTAAGGTATCTGGGACCCGGGACATAAAGCGAATCATGTTGAGTGTTTTAGGCATCTCGAAACATAAACTCAAATGCCCTGGAAGCCCGTCTCAGCTTGAGTCAGATGTCAGCTATAGACAGACGCCGGCAATCAATGGGAAGATCCTGCCAGAAGCAGATATTTAGTTATCTATACCTCCAATAGTCAGGCTAGCGTGGCGAAAATGGCCCCTAGCACTTTATTCTCTTACTCCGACCTGATTAATATACCGTTTAAGAAAGGAGCCGAAGTCTCGGTCGGGGTCTTCTGCGTAGTAGCTCCAATTACGTCTTATGAACCCTTTGAGCTCTGCAAAAATTCTTCAATTGGGTTCAGGTCCGGCGAGTACGAAGGCAAATAAATCAATCTAACTCCCGTATCGGCATATATCTGCGAAATCCGCTCGGAGTGGTGAAACGATAAATTGTCTATGACTAGAATAGACTTCGGCTCCCGCTATCTTCTATATGACGAAGTTTATCGATAAAATATTCGAATATAGCGGCATCTATTAAACCACGAAAGACATAAGTAAGCAAAATACCATCTTAGGCATATATAGGCAGAATTTGATAAAGCTCGTCACGGTGAAACTATGATACTTATCGAGGTGCTATACTAAGTGGTGGCCAGCCTATCCGTTAGAAACCAACCCGTTTATCATATCTAGACTTATCGATATAAATGAGGTGGTACGATTCGAATTCCAATAGATTATAGAGATAAATTTCTCGTAATTCAGCACTCTGCTCTTTAGCACTCTGTCTTACGGTCTTTTTAGACTAGCCTTAGGATATAAGGGCCCTTCTAATACTAGAGGTAGTTACTAGCGTCTGAAATTCATCCTATAGAAAGATAGTCATTTCCTTTAGATATAGACCTAGCTTTTCTAGTAGGTAGTTATAGAGTGCCTCTATCATCGGTGGTGTTATACTTCGTCTTCGACCGATACGAGTCAGGGGAGTATAAACGTGTCTAAACAGTCGTAAGTTCCTACGGATGTTTTTGATCGTTTGTTCGATATATTCTGCTGCCTCCGCCATTTAAGAACGGGTTAAGGACTGGCTTTCAATTATGTCGCGAATGAGATGCAGCTGTGACAAGGATAGTCTCGGTGCCGTAATGCGTAGAAATCCTAGCAGTTCCGAGATGGTGGTGCTAAAAAGGATGCACGTTATAAATGGAGGGGCAGTGAAGGTTAGATCGTATAGGAGTTTCATGGTAGATATACGTTAAGCAGTTGTTCTGGAAATAAAAAAGTTCTATTCTTAGGACTGAATTATTTACGCTGTATCATAAAATAGACTAGTGTGGTCTCGGGTACGAGCCGAGAAACAAAGCGTGAGTGTCCGGGGGTAAACTGTTTTCGAATTCTACTGTATCTACCTAAGACATCAAACAAGATACCAGAGGGTTCTTACCTATAAAATCTCTAATAGTATCATCATTGTTGTCATTTTTGTCGAGTTTGTCGGATATTGAATACATATTCCGGTTTACCTTTTTCGGTTTTGGGGTTGGAGAGGGGACTGGGACTAGTATAAATCGGAAGTCACTTCCTTGAAATATATTCTCGAGAGCTTATAGTAGTTGTATGAAGCTCTGGAGACAAGCAGGTTGAACTCGGTCCCAAAAAAAAGGTGAAGGGCCATGATGAGGGCCGGTACCCGCAATGTTTGCATCTCAGTCTATACATACATGAATGTATATACCTTTTCATTGGACGATAAATGAAGTATCGAATATCCTCAGGAATGTGTAGAGTAATCTTGGAATACTAGCAACCAATCAGATCCTTCCGAGGTCGGAAAACTAGGCGGGCACGTGTGAAGCTGACTAATCATACATCACCGGAGACGGGGGTGACGTTGGTTATTCCCCGCGGGAAAGAAAGTTAGCTTCTTCATATGCCGGTTACCACTATGGCCACACCGAGGCTGCCATTCTTGTATCCGAATTTGATGCGCGCGGTGCGATCATGCGAACCGAGAACATACCGCTCACTTAGAATCCCATACCGACTCAGTCAACGCTTCCATACGAGCCAGCAACGGGAGCGCGATTCCTATCAGCGGCGATATGGTCCAGCTGTCGAGCCGAGCACCGCTCCTTCATTGCGTCCCAAGAAGCGCTCACATGACCAGGTCCAGGAGACCCCAGAGGGTCCATCGGCTGGACACGAGGCTGTAAATGCCCCCGAGCAGGAGGAAGCTTCGCCGGAAGAGTCACAATCGGAACCACCACCACAGGAAGCCGAGCACAGCACCGCAGATGTCGCTTCTTCGGAAACTCCAGCCCTAGATCAACAAACTGAAGCCGAAGCTGAATCCAGGGAAGACCACCCCCCTACAGACCGGGAGCCACACGAGGAGCAGGCAAAGGATATAGATGGTGCCGAACAGGAACAGCCTTCAGCTTCTTCGTCCC